ACCATTGTACCATATGGTGCAATGGTACCATATGGTTCAGAACCATAGAATTCCTCTTCAGCTCCACTTCCATCAGTCTTAGAACTGTAAGTTGTGAATAGGAGAGTCAGAATTCACCTGGAGAGTGAGTGGGGAGTGAGAGCTTCCTTGCTGCCAGGCATGATGAACAAAGCTACTTTGGCGGCGTTCCCACAATGCCATGCGGGCGTCCAGATTTTTTCTATAGTGTGCACACTGACCACCCAGACCCATTCTCTCAGATGTAGGCCTACCAGCCTTCTCGCGCTAAATTTGACGCTGCTAAAATTTTGGCGTAGATCTACGGTTTGGTCCCTGAACATAAAGCCGTAGATCTACGGGATGGGCCCTGAAAGAGTTAAAAAAAAAAAAATTTGTGAGTATTTTTGTCTGGTACGGATTGATTGTATTTACATTAATTCTTATGGGAAATATTATTTTGGTTTTCGGCCATTTCGGTTTTTGGCCGATCTTCTAGAAGGGATTACGGCTGATAACGGGGTCCACTGTATTTCAGTGAAGACTGCTTTCACAAAAATTAAGAATTATTTAAGAACCGAGGCGAAAATTCAAAAAAGGCTCTTTATCACAATATACAGTATTACTATCCTCCCAACCTTATGCACTAGCAAACCTCATCCTCTACTGAAGAAATGGATTAATTATTATCATGTTAATTATATTAACTCTAATGGTGATGAATGGAAATTAAGACAACTTAGGAATATTGAGTGTCAGATCTTGATACAGTAGTAATATATTTCTTGGGAATATTTGTATGTGTGACTCAGGCATATTAAACACTTTATGACTATTCTTGGTAAAGTGAAGAAAATTATCCACAGTGTTATTTTTGCAGTAACATGACAGTGCTTCCTTAACCACTGTCCAGGTGGCAGTGTGGATCGTTGTATTTAAGTAGTGAAGATAATATTAATTTGTAGAACATGAGTGATAATGCAGTGACATGATGATTAAGAAATGGAGTTAATATTATAATTCAGTACTGTTAAAGTAGTATGGATGTGGTTTAACTCTTTGACTGTCGCAAGACCCTTTCTGAAAATGTCATTCTATTTCGAAAAATTTTTGGAAAAAAAAAATTATTTTTTCTTACGAAATGATGAAGAATCTTTTCCCGATGGTAATAAGACCAAAAGTACGAAATTTGGTTGAAAACTCACGGAATTACACTCCCGCGAAATTAGTGGTCCTTGTGACATATACGCATCGGCGATTTTGCCGAATTTGAGCCCTGTTTTTGGCCAATTCCATTCCAGTTGACCAAACTCATAGCTATTTCTTTAGAACTCCATTTTTCTATCAATTGAGTAAAAGAAACCTCCCATTTAGCGATTTGAGCTACCCAATACAGTGATCAGAAATTGGCAATTTGGCCAATTTCAAGCAAATTAAAAAAGATGCCAGTTTCAAAATAGGGTCCAGAATAAACAATGTAGACATTCTTGGCACTAAAATAACATATCCTCGGTTCATTAGTCACATCTCTAGGCCTCTCTTATATTACTATTGCTTTCTATTTTGATTTTTTGTTCATACAAAATTTACTGTTATGCAGACTACTGCGTTATTGTAAAAATGGTATAAATAATATCAGTGAACGTGTATTGGACGTGTGGTGTGATTTGCTTACTCCTGAACATTGGTAAAAATTGAACATTTCCGCTACTTTGAGCTCAATTTTAAGGTCATTTTCATCGTGAAACTAATCAAAATCAACTCTATTTCTGTAATGTTTTCCATTTTATCACGTGAGACCATGGAAATGAGAATACAACAATAAATACTATATGAAAATACATCTCAAAGTCGGCGTTTTAATCCAAAAAAAGTCAGTTTTTTTTTTCTCATTATGCACTGCGTGCTGCAGGATTTTTTTTATGTGGTGCACACTGACCACACAGACTCATTCTCTTAAATGTGGGCCTACCAGTTTTCTCCTGCTTGATTTTAAGCCGCTAGAGTTATTGAGTATATATACGTCCAAAACACTGGCTCGTAAGACATATATACGACCAAAACAGTCAAAGAGTTAACCCTTTGACTGTCGAAAGGCCCAATCCTAAAGTGTCTCCTGGTGTCGCAAAATATTCGAAAAAAGAAAAATTATTTTTTCTTATGAAAATGTTAAGATTATTTTTCTGATTGTTTTAGTCCCCCAAAAAAATGTTTTCCCATCAGTACTTACCCAGATATAGAGACATGAAGTTTGCAGAAAATGAGCTGCATATGGCAACAGCGGCGACTGCCGCTCACCCGGTAAACTTTGGTTTACTTATATTTGAAGTTTTTTTTTTTTTTTTTTCACTATTTTATTTTTTCACCTAACTTATGTGGTCTGTGAGACCAAAGTAAGGTGCAATGTACATATATACACTCGTTGTATACAACACAATAAGCACACAAACATAATTATCAATATATTGTTTACAAAACTTGTTTACAAAAACAAACAATACAAAAAATTGTTTATTACTATTGTTCTATAATATATATACCAATGTACAGTCACTGAATATACTCTAGAAGTTCTGCAGCTTGTGGAACTCTTTGAAACATGTTTTCATACACAATGGTGTTTTACACTCCTCACACATAAAACCAGTGTGTGTGTGCATTTTTGTGGACTTTTTTTTTTATGTGCAAAGACAAAATACCTCATCTGAGCAGTTTTTCTTCAAAGTATTAGCAGGCAGTTGTGTTATGTAGTTATCCTAGGTAAATGGCCGTGTGTCATCATTCCTTCCTTCCTAATTTCCTTCATTCTTTTCCTACCTGGAGGCTACCTGGAGGGCATTCCACCTCTCTTCCTACATTCCTTCATCTGTCCTTTCCTACCTCTCTTCCTACATTCCTTCATCTGTCCTTCCTTACTTTTTTCCTTCCTTTCATCTAGTCCTTCATTCCTGCCTTCTCTTCTTGCTTCTGGTTTCTATAATATATATATACATATATAGTCACTAGATACTTTCATAAAATTGCTATTATCATCATTCAGCAAGCTTGTCTTGGGTGCAAGTGTGTGGCTTATAATTGTTTTGAGTCGGGAGTCGGCAGCTGTCAAAATGACATAAAATGACATATTGTCTCATTACTCACTCCCCCTACCGCCTGTCAAAACAATGGGGTCAGATGCTGCTTCCCCTCCATTCTATCTAATTATCTTTCTCCCTCATTCTATCTCTTTCAATCTGTCTCTCTCTTTCTCTCTGTCTGTCTATCTCTGTCTCACAGGTACACATCAATACAAGTATACATAGACAGTGCTATACTCTGCTTGAAGATGTGAGTAAACCTGATGACAGTCTTGTGGCTCTCTCTGAGACAGAGCTAGATGGATAGACAGGGAGCTTGGCAGACAGACAAATAGACAGACAGACAAATGTTTGTGTACCAGCAAAAACAAAGGGAGGGGGATGGTCATCTAATTTCCTTATCAGCTGCCCCCTCTCTCCATCCTCGTTTACGCTCATCAAACGTCAGCTCTTATCAGATGTTATCTCCCCTTATCTTGTCACTGTCATGGGGTGAACTGTTTTCATGCCTCAAGGGAACATATTATTACATATTATTATGTGGTTGTCATCTTCTTCTTCTTTTTCTCCTTCTCCTTCTTCTTCTTCTTCTTCTTCTACTCCTTCTTCTTCTTCTCCTTCTCTTTCTTCTTCTCTTTCTTCTTCTCCTTCTCCTTCTTCTTCTTCTCCTCCTCCTCCTTGCTCTGAGACAGAGAGCTAGACGGACAGACAGCTGAACCTCCCTCCACCCTCGTTTACGCTCATCAAAGGTCAGCTCTTATCAGATGTTATCTCCCCTTTTCTTGTCACTGTCATGGGGTGAACTGTTTTCATGCCTCAAGGGAACATATTATTACATATTATTATTATTAGGTTATTATTATTATTACTTTCCTTCTCTCTTCTTCCTCTTCTTCCTCTTCTTCCTCTTCTTCCTCTTTCTTCCTCTTCTCTTCCTCTTCTCTCCTTTCTCTTCTCTTCTCTTCCTCTTCTCTTCCTCTTCTCTTCCTCTTCTTCCTTTCTTCTCTTCTTCTTCCTCTTCTTCTTCCTCTTCTTCTTCCTCTTCTTCTTCTCTTCTTCTTCCTCTTCTTCTTCTTCTTCCTCTTCTTCCTCTTCTTCTTCCTCTTCTTCTTCCTTCTCTTCTCTTCTTCTTCTTCTTCTTCTTCTTCTTCTTCTTCTTCTTTCTTTCTTCTTCTTCTTCTTCTTCTTCTTCTTTCTTCTTCTTCTTCTTCTTCTTCTTCTTCTTCTTCTTCTTCTTCTTCTTCTTCTTCTTCTTTTCTTCTTCTTCTTCTTCTTCTTCTTCTTCTTCTTCTTCTTTCTTCTTCTCTTCCTTCCTTCCTTCCTTCCTTCCTTCCTTCCTTCCTTCCTTCCTTCCTTCCTTCCTTCCTTCCTTCCTTCCTTCCTTCCTCTTCCTCCTTCCTCTTCCTCCTTCCTTCCTTCCTCTCCCTCTTCCTCCTTTTCCTCCTCCTCCATTGCTTTTGGTCTCAAACTCCTCGAAATCATGAAATTGATCTTCACTGACACTTCCATCTGTGTTAGAGCATCACTTGCGAAGAGAAGAGTCCCAGATTTGCTGGGGAGTCACATATTTCTTACCGCTAGACATGCTGAAAAAGGACGACTGAAATGGCATTCCCACAATGCACCACTGGCTCCCCGATTTTTTTTATATGGTGCACACTGACCATGGAGACCCATTCTCTCACATGTGGGCCTACCAGCTTTCTCCTGCTTGATTTGAAGCCGCTAGAATTTATGCGTATAGATACGTCAAACACAGTATCTCCTATGACGTATATATACGACCGCGACAGTCAAGGGGTTAAGTAGTGATCGGCAATCTATTACACAGGACTGTCTGTATATGATAGATATATCACTGGGTAAGCTTCATGTCTTGTAACAATTACATATTTTCATCTAAAACTTAAAATATATTTTTTTAAGGTGAGGATCGTGGCCCTGTCCTGGAAGTGATTGTATCGAGGACAAACTTCATTTCGAGTCACACCAACAAAGGCTTGAGGGTTATTGGTCTATCCACAGCCTTAGCCAATGCAAAAGATCTAGCAAATTGGCTGGGTATTGGTCAGGTATGTTTCTTTATGTTGGTGATTTAACCCTTAAAAAAGCTTAAATGGTCCAAATGTATATATACGTTTTTTCAACATCTGAAAGTATATAAAAAAATGTAGATCTTCTTTTTTGTTTTACACTTGAAAACATGTAAAAAAACTTTTATCTACATTTTTGTTTTGTTATATGTATTTGAAAATATGTAAAAAAAAGTAGGTCCACTTTTTTAGCACTACGAATTTGAACGTCGATGTCTTTGGACCGTTTAAGGGTTAATGCAGTTCAGTTGTACATGGAAGCATTTGTTTCTCTTCAATAACAAATCAGAATGGTGTGCACAGTGAATAATAAAATAATTTTTGCAAATATGCTCACATATTTACCCATTTAACCCTTAAACTGTTCAAACATAAACCTACGTTCACAAAAGTAGATCTACGTTTTTTTACATATTTTCAAATAAAAAAAAGTAAATCAAAGTTTTTTTACACACTTTCAAATGTAAAAAAAAAAAAAAAAGATTACTTTTTTTTACGTACTTTTCAAATGTTGAAAAAACGTAGATCTACGTTTGGACAGTTAAAGGGTTAAAGACAAGGGATACATCGAGTTTCATGTATTCTATTTGGTATGTGAAACACAGTACAAATAGTTTATTAATGTTATAAATAAAATGAGTCTTCATGGTGAAGTGAGGAAGAATTCTTCCTCCATAAGCCATTCATGTCATGAAAGGCAACAAAAATACCAGGAGCAAGGGGCTAGTAACCCCTTCTTCTGTATAAATTATTAAATATAGGAGATGGCCATTGTGTTAAAAAACAAATAGTGATGAGAGTATTGAAAAATCTTAGTAGTGTAAGATTGAATATCAGATTGGAGGAAGTTAATATGTTCAGATATTTGGGAGTGGACGTGTTGCTAGTTCTGAGAGATGAGGTGAACCATAGAATTGACAAAGGGGTAAAAAAGATGGGTAGTGCATTGAGTCATTTTAGGGAAACAGAGTGCAGGAGGGCCCCACTTGCATATCAGTTAGGTTCCGGGCTACTGCTGTACAGCAAAAATCACTGTAAAGTGAAACAGCCCTTTTTTTCACTTACAAATGCATATAAAAGCCTGTTAACATGTTTACACTATCATATATTAAGTGAGCAGTAAAGCTAGGCCTTAAAAATACACATACTTTACCACTTACCTAAAATATTTTTGTATTGAGTTTATAGGAGGGTGAATATTTTTTTATTGTAGGAAGCTGAATAAATGAAGAATAGGACATTGAAAACCACTGTATTAGGAAATTTTTTTAAGCGATTGCTGAGTGGGGCCCTCTTGTATTAGTGGTACCAACCGTATATTGGTGTGAATCAGGGTTTCAAATGTTGCACTGGAACTGTTTTTAAGGACATGACCTGGTGAATATTATCAAAGATTTCATGTTGGAGTTGGAGTGTGGAGTTCCAAAAAAATATTCAAAGGGCTGGCTGATGACGAACTTCCTAAATTTTTCCCGTGAGTCTCTGTCTTAACCCTTTCAGGTCCAAGGCCAAAATCTGAAGTGGTTTCCAGTGTCCAAGAAATTTTTGAAAAAAAAAAAATTTTTTTTTACGAATTAAAGAGTATATTTTTGTGAAGGTAATAAACAAAAAAAAGGTTTTTTCTGATCTACTTACCGAGAACAGCGGTGGGAAGTTGACCCAAAATGCCGGTGGCGGCAACATCAGTGACTTCCGCAAAATCCCATTTTTGTTATTTAATTTTTTTTATACTTTTTTCTTCTTTTTCTAATTTTTTTTTTTCTTTTTTAATAACATTGGTGCCTGGGGAACCAAGTAAAAGGTATATTGTGTAAGTGTCACTCATTGATTAACACAAAACGCACAAATTTTTATCATTATATTGCTTACAAAACTTGTTACAATTTTTGTAAACAAATGATGAAATTTTAGTGCATTATTGTGTTAATACAATGGTACCATATGGTACAAGGGTGCCATAGGTCAGTGGCACATGATAAAATGGTACCATATGATACAATGGTACCAATGGTAGAATGGACCATTTGGTACAATGGTACCATATAGTACCATATGGTACAATTGTGCCATATGGGTGCAATGGTACCATGGGGTTTGCAATGGTACCATAGGACAATAGCATCAATGATACAATGGTACCATATGATACAATGGTACTATTGGTAGCAAGGTACCTTATGGACCATATGGTGTAATGGTACCATAGAGCAAGGTACCTATTGAACATTGTACTACAGTACATGACCTATGTTTTTTCCATATGGTACTGTTGTATCAACAATAATATTTATTTTTATTTTGGTTACAAAGTTTGAGTCCTGGAAATGGGAAGTACAATGCCTGCACTTTAAGGAGGTTTGGATATTGGCAGTTTGGAGGAATATGTTGTGTTCTTTATATGTGTATGCTTCTAGACGTTGTATTCTGAGCACCTCTGCAAAAACAGTGATAATGTGCGAGTGTGGTGAAAGTGTTGAATGATGATGAAAGTATTTTTCTTTTGGGATTTTCTTTCTTTTTTTTTTTGGTCACCCTCCCTCGGTGGGAGACGGCCGCCCTTGTTGAAAAAAAAAAAAAAAAAAAAAAAAAGTTGTTTACAACAAAAATTTTGCAAAAAGTTGTATATTAGTAATCTATTAATATTTACAAGTGTACAGGAACTTTACGTGTTCCTTGAGGTGGATGACAAAGCACTTTGGTCTCGGAAACTGCGGAGTCAGTAGCAGTTTGCGTCGCCACTCAGTCTTGGCGGGTTGTCTCATCCCACCAACACCTATTGACCATATGGTACATGGTATATGGTTACGGGGCCCAAATATGGTAACATTGTACAATATGGTAAAGGGAAAACCAGTACAGGTAACATATGGTGCAGGGTACCATATGGTGCAGGGTACCATATGGTGCAGGGTACCATATGGTACAGGGTACCAATGGTCAGGGTCCCATTGGGCAGGTAAAATTATGGTGCAGTGTCCCATATGGTGCAGGGTACCAATATGGTACAGGGTACCATATGGTACAGGGTACCAATGTACAGGGTACCATATGGTACAGATACAGGGATAACTATAGAAATAAGTCACCCTGACTTTGCGTTATCCTAGGATTTATACATATGCAACTATGTATGATAATCTATGTATTGTATTTCTGTACACCTGAATGAATTTACTAAAGTGCATGTGGCATCATAAGTAAGTTTTTTTTTAGTTATACACAAATAAGTTACTAAAATCATACTTAGCAGCATATGTTTGGAAAACCCTAGGATAACCCAAAAAAAAGTCAGACAGTTTTATTTCCATTAGGGTCCTGTACCCTGTACCATATGGTACAATGTACTATATGGTACAATGTACTATATGTCATTGTACCATAGGTACAATTGTCCCATATACCATTGTACCATGATACCATTGATGGGCTGGCACCATTGTACCATATGGTACCATTGTACCATATGGCACAATGGTACCATATGGTTCAAAACCATAGAATTCGTCTTCAGCTCCACTTCCATCAGTCTTAGAACTGTAAGTTGTGAAGAGGAGAGTCAGAATTCGCCTGGAGAGTGAGTGGGAAGTGAGAGCATCTTGCCGCCAGGAACTATGAACAAAGCTACTTTGCCGGCGTTCCCACAATGCCATGTGGGCGTCCAGATTTTTTCTATGGTGTGCACACTGACCACCCAGACCCATTCTCTTAGATGTAGGCCTACCAGCCTTCTCATGCTAAATTTGATGGCGCTAGTATTTTGGCATAGATCTACGGGATGGACCCTGAAAGGGTTAACTTTCAGCTGTACCTGTGAGAAGCTTTTTCTACCTTCCCTGACAGCCTGTCCCTGTCTGCCCAGTCAATTCCTATGAGTATTGTTGTAGGTGTTCTTTAAGTAGCTTCGATATTTAGAGAGGATGGAGAAGAATGAGATGACTAGGAGGGCGTACAAACCTCAGGTGGAGAGAGGAATGGGATGGAAAATGTGGCGGCCAGGTGGGGGGGGGAGGTTAAAGGAGGTTTCGGGTGCTAGGGGGTTGGACAGTTAACAAGCTTGTGCTAGCATATTAGATAGGAGTGAGGGGGGACTGTTGGCATGAGTTAATGTGTTGCTGAAGTGTAAGGTTACATGAATGGATTCAGGGAAACTAGTTATCCGGACTTGAGTTCTGGAGGTTGCAAGTGCAGTACCTGCACTCTTTAAGATAGCCATTGAATGGATGATAGTGTTTTTTTCTGTTGGGTCTCCTGCCTCAGTGGGCAATGGCTGGTGCATAAAATAAAAAATGTTGGTTTGATGGGAAAGTTATAGATTTTAGAAAATTCAAGTTCCTGGTCAGGAACTAGATAACTGATTGTGATTAATGTAACAAATCTGAATCCAACACTAATAACCCATCAGTGAACTAATAGAAGTAAATAATACTTTCTTGAGCCTATGCTTTAAACAGAGACTAGAAAGTATCTTTTACTCAGGTATTCTCCAATACTGAGCTTGTTTTTGCTTTCCTAAAATGTGGCATTTTAGTGTGCAAATGTGGCATTAGTGTTCAAAAACATATGTACATGTACTTTGATCATTAACCCTTTCAGGGTTTGTGCCATAGTTCTATGGCTTTGAGTTGAGGGTCCAAACCGTAGATCTACGCCATGAGCTCAGCTCACTCTGATAAGCTGTGAGTGGTAAATTTAGGCCTAGGTATGAGAGAATACATCTGTGTGATATGTGTGCACCACATAAAACAAATCCTACAGCACACAGTGCATAATGAGAGAAAAAAAACTGAGACAATAATTTTTTATTAAAACAGCGACTTTGCATTGTTTTTTTCGTATGTTTTTTATAGTTGTATTTGCAATTTCTTGCTCTCATTTGATAGAATGGAACATATATTACAGAAATAGAGATGATTATGATTGGTTTTAGTACTGAAAATGGCTTGAAACTGAACTCAAAGTAGAGGAAATGTTAAATTTTT